GGATCCTGATCTGACACTGAAGGCCCTCGTAAGCGAATGCAAACGGCTTCTCACTCTACAACGCGACACTGCCATGGTCGAACGCAATGGTCTCGCATCACCAGATACCGTGCAACTCGTGAAAAGGACCAGGGCCGCCAACGCAAGCAAACCCTTCAAGAGGCATACGAAGAAACCGCCCACAGCATGCTGGTCATGCGGCGAATGGCATTTCGCTCGCTTTTGTCCCTTCAAACATCATATTTGTCAAACGTGTCATAAGGGTGGGCATAAAGAGGAATGCTGCAGTCAAGTCCGGTCGAAGAAAGTGCAGAAGTCTTATCGAAAGAGTAATTCTAGAAGGGACGGCGCTGAGTCTCTGTCCATAGTTGTCGCATTCCAAAGCGAATGTAAACCGAGACGACGATTCATCACTGTGTTAATCAATGGGATCCCAACGAAACTGCAATTTGACACGGCCTCAGACATCACAATCATTTCCAGGCGCACATGGAATCACATAAAGAGGTCGAAGATGGTCGAGTCACAGAAAGTTGCACATAATGCATCCGGCGGTGTGTTAAACTTAGTGGGCGAACTCAATTGCAAGATTGCTTTCCAAGGTGTGGAGAAGTCAGGAACATGCTACATTTCGGACCGGCCGAATTTGAATCTTCTTGGCCTCGACTGGATTGAAAAGTTGAACCTCCTCGATGTTCCCTTGAATCAGATCTGCAACCGAGTTCGAGCAAGTCCAGACCCATCTGCAAAGTCCGTCGAAGACATGACACGTACCCTGAGGCGAAAATTTGCTTCTGTCTTTCAGGATGGCTTGGGCCACTGTACGAAATTCAAGGCAACACTGAACCTGCGACCAGGTGCTAAACCAGTGTTCAAGCTAAAAGACCGGTACCATATGCCGCCATGTCAACCGTTGAGCAAGAGCTCAATAGACTGGAACGTGCCGGAGTCATCACAGCAGTCAACTACTCATCATGGGCCGCACCTATTGTCGCAGTGAAGAAAGCAAATGGCAAAGTACGCGTCTGCGCTGACTTTTCAACTGGCCTCAACGCCGCGCTGGACGACCACCAGTACCCCTTACCGGTACCGGAGGATATTTGTGCAAAGTTTCATGGTGGTAAGTACTTTGCTAAGCTTGATCTATCCGACGCTTATCTGCAAGTGGATGTTGACGAAGTCTCGAGGGAGTTGTTGACGATCAACACTCATCGTGGGCTATTCCAATACAACCGCTTGGCATTTGGTGTGAAAACGGCGCCAACCATCTTCCAACAGTTGATGGATACCATGCTAGCGGGCGTTTCTGGAACCGCTGCATATCTGGACAATATCATAATGATGGGTCGAACACCGGAAGAACTATTCAACCGCCTGGATGAAGTTCTTGGTTGCATACAGTCGTACGGTTTCCGGATCCGTGAGGATAAATGCACATTTTTCACGCCGCTCATCAAACACCTCGGGTTTATCCTCGAGAAGGATGGACGTCGACCAGACCCGGAAAATATAGAAGCCATCAGAAGAATGCCTCCGCCAACAGATCTACAGTCCTTGCGTTCCTTTTGTGGGCTCATCAGCCACTACAGCGCATTCTTGCCTGAGATGCACCGCTTGCGTGCCCCGTTAAACAAGCTACTAGCCAAAGGACAAGCTTGGAACTGGACATCAGAATGCCAGAATGCCTTCGAACGGGTCAAGTCACTGCTGTCCTCAAACTTGCTTTTGACTCATTTCGATCCCTCCAAAGGGATCGTCCTAACCACAGATGCATCAAGCCATGGGATTGGTGCAGTAATTACGCACACATACACCGATGGATCTCAAAAAGCAATCGCCCATGCCGCCAGAACACTTACGAAGGCCGAGAAGAACTACGGCCAGATCGAGAAAGATGCATTGGTCATAGTGTACGCGGTTAAGAAATTCCACAAAATGCTATACGGCCGCCGCTTCAAGCTTCTGACAGATCACAAGCCCTTGCTGGCTGTCTTTGGTTCGAAAAAGGGCATCCCGGCCTACACCGCCAACCGGCTACAACGTTGGGCTCTTACCTTAATGGGGTATGATTTCGAGATTCAATATCAGTCGACAGTTTCCATTGGCCAAGCGGATGCACTGTCACGCCTAATTGATACCCGTCAGCAAGAACATGAAGACACAATCATTGCCACGGTGGAGATTGAACCAGACGTCAACTTTCTGGTAACTGACGCACTGCACTGTCTACCAGTTACCGCAGAAGCTGTACGGACCGAAACACTTCGGGACCCAATACTCAAGAAGGTTACTCAGTTTCACAAAACAAGTTGGCCACGTTCATGTCCATCTGCCGAGTTGCAACTGTATTTTCAGAGGAGACACTCACTCTCTATTGTAAACGATTGCATACTATTTTCGGAAAGAGTGGTCATCCCCAAGGCACTTCAGGAGCGCCTTATTCGAAGTTCCACGCCGGGCATCCTGGAATCAACCGGATGAAGGCGCTTGCCCGCAGTTATGTATATTGGCCTTTCATGGACAAACAGCTAGAAGAAATAGCTAAACGCTGTCAGGGGTGTGCAAATGTCTTGAAAGCGCCACAAAAAGCAGAACTCTGTTCATGGCCAATAGTTACTAAGCCATGGTGCCGCATCCATGTCGACTTTGCGGGACCGATCAACGGCAGAAGCTTTCTCATTATCGTCGATTCAGACAGCAAGTGGCCAGAAGTATTTCTCATGGATAACACAACCACCAATGCCACCATATCGAAACTGCGCCAAACCTTTAGCAGGTTCGGCTGTCCGGAGACAATTGCCACTGACAGTGGCTCACAATTTACTTCAGCAACCTTTACGGAGTTTTGCAATGCTTCGCCAGCACGCTGGCTCGCCGCCGTTTCACCCACGGTCGAATGGCCAGGTAGAAAGGTTTGTCGATACCTTCAAGAGAACTCTCCTCAAATCAAAAGGGGAGGGATGTATAGAGGAGGTGGTTGACCGGTTCCTTTTCCTCTACCGATCAACAACAAATTCACAAGCGCCAGACGTAGTCTCTCCAGCACAAGCCATGTTGAATCGGAAGCTCCGCATGCCTTTCGACGCCATCCGACCGGGCTCGGAGTCCTCTGTTTGTGAAAGAACCCGCAGAATGGAACAGAAGTTTAACCGGCGGCATGGAGCAAAGAAGCGATCTTTCACGCTTGGACAGAAGGTGCTAGTACGTGACTACCGGGAAGGCTATGCAAAATGAACGCCTGGGACTGTCAAATGCAAGCGCGGAAACGTCATGTATGACGTGATGGTGGGCGCACAGCTTTTGCCACGGCATGCAAACCAGTTACGGCCCACATTGTGCCAGCCAGAACAAGAAAGGCCTACTGACCTCCAGTTCGATTTACTGGTGGAAACTTTCAACCTGCCGAAGGTAACAGTGGACGACTGCACAAGGTGGAGTAACGAATCCAGAACAAGAACATCGGAACAAAGTTCTCGGGCTCTTCTGCCAAGGAGGTGGACCGACAGGCAGAGAACACCGTCCCGAAGACTGCAAGTTAACCCCAGACTTTCCTCTTACACCTCGGACCATATCTCAGGAGAGGTGTCCGGGAGAAAGTAAGAATTGTCTTGGAAATTCCCTATTTTAGCGATCAACCGATTATTAACGATTATCGCATCGATTTCGAACGTTCCGGAATGTTCTCCTTCTACACGTGATCAAAATCCACCTGACCTCTCGGCAAAAGATATGGGGAACCACTAACCTTGGCAGCTGACCTTCCAATTCTAGAAGTGAGGTCAGTAGAGACCTATAAATACAGCCAAGGTCCGCAGTCGTTGTACAGTGTTCGTTGGCGGCGATTAATACGTTATTTTGTCAAGGTCATTGGCGTTTTGCTTTTTTTCCTTCGGTTGGGCTAGGTGTTTTGTGGAGCAGTCAATTGTTATTTTGGGAATTGCGTCTAGTGAGAAGATTATAACAGACAGGCAACTCCGGAACCGGATGGTGCCAATCATGCCACTTAGTGGGCATATACGCTGCGCTCCCCCAGCCAGCAGTCACAGATTATAGCTGAAAACATAAATTTATCCCTTAAATATATTTCCGACATTGTTTATGAAACGTAGAATACTTAGTGCAACAAACTGTTGTCCACATTCTACATTCACTTAGTGCGTTTGTACTCCAGGGATTTTCTAAAACGATCTTCCTGATGTCCATGTATAATACAGACTTGGGGAACTCTACCGAAGTTATTGCTAAGGTCACTCGGTCTCCTACCCAGGTTGGAACCAGTGATGTCCGGGTTGCAAGCCAGACGCCTTGTTAGTACAGCCACCGGTTGTGTTGTAGGACTGCTACAATTAGCCACCACCTGTCGGGTGATGTACGTGACCCGTGTGAAAATAAAACTGCATGGAAGTAGGCGGGACCACATGTTAAACGTGGGTACACATTTCCGCCGTGTCATTTTGCTGGTCGTGTTCCTACTTGTATTACTCTCCAAAGTCGTAGCGGTTGACGAGAGTCGGTGCAGAATAGAGGGGATAAAAGGAAATCACAACAGGACTAAAGATCTGTCAGGTATGCTGTAGTTTCCCACCTTGACCCAAAGTTTCCGGCACTAAGGTCGCTGCATGTGTGCCATATGGGCTGCGTAGAGAAAAAAACGAACACACGGTGGTGAGTGCGTTTCATTCAATGGGGATAAATAGACGCGAATTGAACGCTATGAACAGTCTAAGAATCTGCTGGGCGATGGCTGTATCGTGTTCGTGTTCCATTAAGGGGTTGCCATAGAAGTTAGCTACTGAGGCAAGGTGGAGCGATGAGGCGCTTGTAAAGGATACCAAGCCTTTCGCATTGGTGGACAACACAAGACAGCGGATTCGTTGTGGATCACAAAAATCTAAACTTTGATCAGGTGAATAGAGTATGAAAGTTGTAATAAAAATGTTGGAGATCTGTGAACCATATATTTGATTTATTTAATGCTTGCGAAATCTGGATCTGCTTACTTGCATAAACGGCCGCTAACTCCTTCGCTGTCTTCAACTCATCTTGTAAGGTGTTCAAAGTCATTGGAATTCCTTGTGCTAGAAGGTATGGAACTGGAAGATGGAATACACGGAAAAATGTAAGAACAACTTCACGAGTAATGATGTCTGCGCCTTCCAGACAATATCACTCATATGTCATCTGGGTATGCAATGTCTCGTAATTTGCACGAAAAGGAAAACAGTCCGAGAGGTGTCACTATCGCAGAAACCTGATGAGCTCTGTTAGGACACGTGGTGAACTGATGTGACTACCGTGTTGTAGGTTGTGTGAATCTCCGAGGGTTAAAACAAAGTTTGGGATTGTCGATACTTCAAATGTATGTGGAGCAAATTTTCACTAACTCTTTCTCGTTTTGTATCCGGTGCCATCTGATTACATGTTTGGATAAGTGCACGCCACTTAGCAGCCAGGCTCCACTCAACTCACACCGTAGCTGTCTGATCCTCTTGAGAATATTTCCAGCTACGCTGCACGAACTCTGTCTTGTGCATCTTTTCCGTGTAATCTTAGTGAGCTCGCTTGGACGACGCTTGCTTAGATACTTGATCACTGATCCAATTGAGTTCACGTTCGCCCAACTGATCAGCTACCATGGCCTTGCAGTAGAAACCTAATGTGAATATCGTTACCTGGAGTGAACCTGTGTACTCCTTAGGGTCATTTCTAAGTGACTAGAAGTCGGTATTCTGGACTCCATTTCAATCAGTTGCAAAATGGTCACTGGGTTATGCCTTACATCAGTTGAGGTTCGCGATCTTAATCTGGGGTCGTGCAATGACTTGAGGCTGACTTAGGTCCATATGATCTCTCGCCCAAGTCGTCCCAACGGTTATGGAATCGTGATTGGGCTATGTGCAGCGCACCATGACGTATATCAATTGTGACAAGTAAACATAGCTTACGAGACCGGTCTCCTGAAAAGCTTATGACCTACGAGTTCTCCATCTCAAGTGACACTTCCCAGCTTGCATTTGTGCTCCTTTCCGATACGCACAGGGCAATTTGTCAGCTTCGTCGAATCAAAGCATCCTCACATTTGAACTCAACGATGTGTTAAGCCCCCCAAGGGAGTTGTCGCAATCTTTATGTCCTGTACTCAGCTCGGATACGTGATTTCCGTCGCCCACGACGAGGTGTATGGCTAAACAAATGTCCCATCATGCGGCCCGTTCAGTTCACGTCAGCACCCCCACTGTTTGCAGGCCACCTGCGCCCTGGTCACGGGGAACTAGGACTTCCTTTGTACCAAATGGTACAGTTAACAATTTTCGTCATCGTCTGCGGAGTTATTCCGATGGAACACGGTCGACCAACCTATCCAAGCTATTGTTTCACTCACGTGCTCATGATACTTCTTCTCGAAGTGCTCACACTCCCGACCTCACGGCTATGTTGATCATTTGACCAGCCAAGTCTCGCGGGGCTATGTAATCACGTGACTACGTAACTCGCTCGGTCTGTGCGAACAGGACAGCCGTGAACTATTTGTTGCCGAACCGTTGGCCCACTTGTGCCTGAATAAGCATCTGAAGCAATCACCATCTACTCCTTTGTATGTTAACCTGCTATGACTTGTACCGGTCCTTAAACGAACCATTGAAAACAATCGTTTGCCTCAGAGTGTGGCTCTTGATAAATCGCTGAGAATGTCCCACATGGCAGATCCATCATTATGAGATTCATTTGGCCAGGTAGTGTAGCAGCGTTGGAAAATCCCATGCCACTGCCTCCGCTAGTAGTCAGTGGTTCCCACCTGCGTAATCCGCTCAATCTAGCTATGTATGATCTGGTGGACACAACATGAGTTGGCTGCAAACGGACTGCAACAAATACACGAAGGAATGATACAGCGACAACTTAAACTGTATTGTGACTAACGCATAACCACGCGATAGCCATGCAACCCAAGGCAAATAAATGGGCAGCGGTATGATTCAGATGTAAACAATGCCGCCGGAGCCAAACGGATGCGAATCGGACGCGAAAACCTGACGTACTTCGTTCTGGGATTGATGCCACAGGTAGAAAACAATTAAGTGCTTATTTCATTCCTCATAAAAGAGTCATTTCGTCCACTCTGTTCGACTTAGTTATACGAACCACGGGCCAACGCATCCAACTAAATCAGCCTGTTGGTTCGTACAATAGATGATGTGTGAGCTCCTGTCTGGACGCATTGCATCACCGACACCATCATACAAAGTACACCTCGGATTTGTGCTCGCTATTCATCCCTTCTCGTTCTGTTACCGATCCCCCTTCCATTAAAGATAACCTGACTATACCCACCTTGTGTACAAAGCAGCGGTGCGTTCGACCTTACTGTACGGTTGCGAAACCTGGTCCCTAAAATCGGCGGACATGAAGAGGCTAGCTACGTTCGACCATCGGTGCCTTCGCAGTTTGGCTCACATCTGGTGGGAACACCGCGTGAACAACGAGCGTGTTCGACGCCTTGTTTACGGCACAGGAAAAGGAACTGAACCGCTCAGTACCGTCATTTCACGCACCAGGCTCCGATGGCTGGGTCACGTGTTGCACACGCCAGCCCACCGAGTTCCACTACGCGCTTTGTTTGCTCAACGGGGAGGTGGATGGAAGAAGAGGGGGTGACCAAGCGATGACTTGGTCAAGAGGAATGAAGGCCCTCACTTCGGAGCTGGCCTCGGTTGGAGCTTCACGGCTCCCTGGTTGGGGTCCAAAATACGGTGAGCACGTCTGGCTGGATACACTTGCTGACATGGCAAGGAGCCAACCTCATTGGCGTTCCTGCTGTGAGTTTCTTTGTCCCTCCCATTCCTTTTAGCCTCACCCTCCACCTACGATCTCGTTTCGTAGCGTAAAACATAATAATTTTTCTTTTGCCTAGTAGCCGGCTGATAGCTTACTGGAACCATGCCCATCCGTTGTTGGTAGCGCAGCTGGCTTGCAACTGTTGTATTTATTTTCCTTTTCCTTTATATATTGCGGCACAGTAGCTGAGGTGTTTCCACCTCTAGCTGACGTGTGTAATGATGATGATGATGAATCCCCTCTTTCGCGTATTCACATTGGTGAATGACAACCATTGTGTTCGCGCTGCATCCATTTCCTTGGCACTCGACTTCAATACTCGATTGAGCGAAGCAGAGTGGCGCTTCGGTCTCTACTGTGCACGGTCGTTGCTAGTTGTGGATTGCGTTTGCGTGATTACTCTAAACGGCATCGGCTTTCCTTCCTTACTGTGCGGACATCGCGTTGAGCTTGCTTTGTTTACTTAACTGACATTTCCTAGACTAGTTCCGTACTCCAGCTGAATCTCACCATGGATTCATACACGTTACTCGTAGTCCAAAAACGAGTAGAGGTCGAGAGTACTCGACCTCTCCTGGGTCAGAGTTTGGATGCGCGTATATGCGGCGAACCGGCAGTATACTCGGCCCATGCGAGATAGGTGGTCGTCACGTGGCAGCAAAGCCACGGTGTGAGGTGCTGGCGTACTTATGACGCCCTTGCCAGCAGGAATTTACATGAAAAGTGAGGCAATCCTTAGTCTTGGACTCAATGACTTCACGAGCCCAAGACTAACCATAAGTATTCATAACCATCATGTGAATGTATCAAAAGAGTTCCCTTCAGTCAACACGTTCACTCAAGTGGTCTCCCAAAGATTATCTGGTGGAAGCAAAGCAGTATGGTGTTTAGACTGGAATTTTGCGTACAAAGATTATTTGGACCGGATTTACCTCTTTATCCTACCCTTAAGCGAGAGGCAGTTCTTCAGGCACTTGACTTACCTCTTGTCTGAAAAGCGCACAAAGTTTGTTTAAGTTAGTTGTATCTACTGGGTATTAAAAGAGCGATAACTGTTCTGGTATCACTCACGGTCGTCAATTCCGGCGCCTCCTCTACCAGAGTCCTTGTTGAATAGACGAATCCCGATCACTATTCCTGTGAACTCCGATATTTGATTGCGTTTCTGGCTCGCATTCAAGGCCAAAAAGGTACCCAAATCTGATTGCGGAAAAATGCTCTGAAGCGCAGCTAAGGGCAAGAGTTAATATTTAGAGTGTGCTGAAAAGTGTTCGCTTTGAGGAGAAAATAGGTTGAACGAATATGGTGTATCAATAATTAAACACAGCCATACATTGCGAATGTCTTCTGCGTACATTGTTGCAAAGGGGAACGGCGGAGTTAAATGTATCTAAGTAAATAAATAAAAAATAAATAAATAATAAATAAATAAATAACATAAGTAAGTAAATAAGTAGATAAATAAATACATTAGCCGGTCGGCTAACAAGTTTTCTGAAATGATGACTTCCAGATCGGTTCCAAATATGTTCCAACATATTGTGTCTAAGTATCTTCCTCAGACTGATTTGTTGGCAGGGTTGCTTTTCCAAATCTATTGAACCAACGTGGTTATAAAGGCACGCAATTCTCGACATCTGTTGATTATGTGGGAGTATGAAAATTTGTATTGAACTCAGGTTTAGTGCAAGGAAGAAAGCATCGGTAAAGTTCTGGGGGGGAATGCACGCTACGTGCTGTCTACACATACAAAAACGGGAGAAACTTGTGCGACCGGTTTTCCTTAGAAGTCAAACCATAGAGGGCATCACGAAGTACACCATGTGGATAAAAGTACATTTAAGGGACGAAACTTTACACAAGTTAGGCTAACAGGACCTAAATATTCTCTGGGTCTTCGTTCCTACGTTCACTTATGAGGTTGGATTGTTGCCCCACTAGTACATTCATGATGCTGCCACAAGAAAATCATTATATCTGCACATGAAAGAGAATCCCTAAGTGTCCTACCTGTTGTCTCACGAACTACTTCTATGTTTGTTGGTGACCCAAGTCCAGACTGTAGTAGGACTGCTGAAATGATCCGACGATACACATCTTGAAGTTCGTCACGCGTTCTTCCCCGGGCCTCTATAGCCTCTTGTGTCACCGGTTCAAGTCGGGTTTGCATTACTCGGTGGTGTTCTTCCAGAAACTCGTCTGAAATATAAGGAACACTATAGATTTGCGGAGGTTTATTTAACCAAAGAAACTTGCATTTCTAAGTGTAGCGAAAGGTGGGTTCACCTGATGAACTAGTGCGTTTAGTTTTAAACAGATATTTTGATCAAATATAGACTTATTTCACAAGAGTTCGTGTGACACCTTGGCTCAAGAAAGTTGGCCACAGACTGTCCAGAAAACGAACAGCATAAGGTACTTTACATAGCTTGTAAAAGTCAGCATAATATCAGGCTGGAGTTGGATAAACAAACAGTTATTTCGAGTAAACTAAGGGTCACCTGACTATTAAGCTACAGAATAAATTTTGTAATCGGGTAAGTAGAAGTAAGTCCTTTTAGCGTGGAATTTGGGATCACTAGAAAACGAACGGTGAAATCGCAGTTCTAAATGGAACCGAAGGTTTAGGAAGGAAATCTCTAGGACAACAACCGAGCCCCCGATCACCAATTGTCGATACGGAGCCAGTACATGACAGGTAAGTCAACACTCTCCACCATGGATTGGACGACCATAAAGCCAAATGGGTGAATCGGCCAATTAGCACGAGAGCGGTATTGTTTGAGTGGTTATAAGTTGATCTTTCTAGATGTTTCCACTTGAGTTTTATATACCGTTCACGGATGTTCGAGTTGACCTATATATTGGAAGGTGTGGTTGCGCTTGATGTGCATGTTGATAAGATGCCTACCTGTACATTACCCACTACCTCGTCCATACTCGCTCCAGGAGATAGCTGGTCGTTGCTGGAGTTGACGGAGTGCACGGTCCTTGTGGTCATGCTAGGCTCGAAGAGTGGTTCCATGCAATCAGTGCGGAGCGGACTACGGTCCAGCCACCACCTTGTATGCGCTTGATTCCCACATATAGCGGGGTTGTGTTTGCCTGTGATGGAGTGTGGGTCGGCTCCGTTGATGTAACGTGGCTCCCATCCACAAGCCTCCTGGTCTTATTCCTTCTGGTTTACACTGGATATGGGGTGTGTAAACGGAGCTGTAAGTGGTGCAGCATAAGCCGCCCATGGTCACTCTGTAAGCGCAGGCGTCCTGTGACTGTCCCCATGGGGGCCACAGTGACACGAAAATCCGGATACGGAGGCCGCCAACATTATATATATATATATATATATATATATATATATATATATATATATATATATATATATATACTGGTTTCTAATACATTGTTCTCCGCACGGTTACAAAGTGCAAGTCAGTGGATATTGAGTGCTGCTATCTCACGAATTGGGTTCATGTCCTCGTAAACTAATAGGAGAGTGTGAATGAAACAGACACCAGTTGGTGAATCAGAGGCTTACAGTAAACCAATCTTTTAATTAATTTCCGAACAGGCGACAGTCCACATCTGAGTTACAACCTCAAGCGAAAGCAAGAAACCCGCTGAATAAAGGAGCCGAGATTCCTGCAAAACGCAGTAAACCGCAATGTTTGAATCCCTAATTGTTTTAAGTGGATGTAATATTGAAGCACTCAGTTGCGACACGCAATTTCAAACTGGGCTGCGAGTTATTTCTAAGTGATTGTCAGTCATTGTTGTTATTGAGACCATAACCGGGCGGGAATAAATACTCGTTATCGCCCGTCCGGAAACTCTGCATTTCGCGACCGGTCTCTGGCTGGTTTGCACTCATCATTTCAGAGATGGCAGAGTCGCTACTTGACCTTCATTTTTGTGAACGCTTTTAGTTTTCATTTTTCATTCGTTTCATCGTATACCCCTTGTTGCACGCTTCACTTCTTTAACCTGATTGGCAAGTGCACGGCGGAAGGAATGGACGCTCACCTCATTTGTCATTTTCAGCAACATCATTGGCTTATATTCCGAAAAATTCTTGGTTTATGTAAGGTGACGTTCAGTTGACATGCCTTTTTTAGTAGTTCTTATTTTCCGGGCTTACATTTCTTCTTATCGTCTGTTTCCCTACCCCTCTTTAAACAATTCATTTCGTCATTCTGGTTGGCCAACACCTGTCGTTGTGATTGAATGTTCACTTTACGGCTTGGATCCCTTAATGCCATTTCCAACGTCATACCTGATTCTTTCCACATTCTACAGCTGCTCATTCGCTTGTAGCATCTAGTGCCTTCCCTCTCTTTGGTTGGCTCGAATTTATTTCACTAATTTCCTTACGAAACCTTTGCAAAGTATACAAGAGAATGAAAGCCACCAGCAATAGGCCGGTAGGCAGTATCGACGCCTCGCTGCCGCGCAACCACCACCGGTCATGCGTGAGTTAAGGATGCCTCGAGCGTCGCCCTTCACCTACGCAGGGTCTACCATGCGCCGTCAGATTACAAGACCACCTTATTACCTTTAGGTTAAGGGCCACCAGAGTGATTTAATGCGTACAAGTCTTTCTTGGTTCGTCTTTGGAGTTATTGCGCTTGCGGGGCGCGAACAGTCGATGGAGACACAGTAGAAGGAACCGGTGGTCGAACGTTGCATACCCGTGCAGTAGGATCGGACGTACGTCTGCCAATTGCACCCTACCCTTCGGAGGGAGTGTGCTGTCACGCCTGCTCTATAGGCGGAGGACGTCGATACCTTAAATTCTTAATGCAAGGTTTGTGACATACTAGATTCCGCAGTTCAGACTAACGAAACTTCCACTCATCTAGGTACTTTGCTTTTGAGGTTGGGTGACGCACACTGCTTCTGTGTATATTCCCCGCCCGCGTGGTATCTCTGGTTGTAATTGCTACGTCGCATGAATGCTGTATTGTCAACGGTCAGATGTTCCTCACTTGAGATTTGAACCACCTGTAAGCGTTACCTTGACACGGGAGCGCAATAAATTGTCAACTGTGCAATGGTAGATCTTGGTATGCACAAATTTCGTTCACCCAGTCACAGGGGTATAGCGGGTTTCAGTGCTGGCTGAATGCCAGATCAGCAAACTTGCATCCTCGGTACTGGAGTGTTGACGATGGATATACAAACAGACCATGTCCGACATGAGGTGTCATACCGATTTCGGAATGCAAGGCCAGCATGCCAGCATCGTCCAACGGGGGTTGTGACGATGGATGAGCAGACAAAACAACCCGCATGAGCAGAATGAGAAATGTATTCGACGCACTGAGACAATCCATGGATTGGTCTTGGCACGATCGATTGATACACCACTCTGAGGCAGGTTAGTAAGCTAGCCACAGCGATCCCTGTCGCTTTGCTGTGTTAGCCATGGAGAACGAACACACTCCGGTGTCAAGGAGTTATGTTCAAGTACAGTCTCGTAACGTGTCTGTGGATCAGTACTTGATCCTTCAGCGACGTCTTGGTGAGTGCCAATCGAACGCGGAAGAAATGGTGCGCCGCTATAACACTGCCAACATTACAATGAAGCTCGTTAACGACCGGCAGTGCGTCGACTTATAAAGAAAGCTGTTAAAATTAGGAGCGTGCAACTTCAAATCAACCGGGCGGCCTCGTAATGCTGTTGTACATAAGCTATTCCGAAAGAGTGATCTCAGCGTTTGGAGCATCACCCAAATTTGTGCCGTCACACCGACTTCTGTGCACGGGATACTAAACGAAAGAAAAATTTTGAAGTTATTGTGCACTACTATCTTTTGGGTGCAATTTTATTGCCAACCAATTGTACATTACTATTACTTGTTTTAACCTCCCTTACAATAAAACCATCTTGGTCTACATCGGGTTTGTCACAATTACGTTTGCGTCACAAGAAAGTCAGCTGTGTCTGACGTTTCTGCCTTCTCGTAACCGCACCTGACCACGTGCATCGTATCCGACTAGTATCCACTAGTTCCACAAGGCACAAGTTTAGAAGCCATGCGATTCAGAGAAGCGTTTGGAATTTTCTCGTTGACATTTGAAAATCATGGATGTACATTCAATCATGTTTACGGATGAGGCAAGTTTCCGTCTGCATGGCGCAGATAAGCGGCAAGTTTGGGCAACCAATAACCCACGACAGTGCTGCGCTTTCCGTGTGTAACATGGCGCACAGCTCATGGCATGGGCTGGGTTGACAGGCCAAAAGTCATCGGACAATTTTTCCTTTCTGAGGACGTGATGGATAGATAATATTTTACCAGAAGTTATGCATTATCTTTCTTAGCATCTTCCTACAAAGCAATGTTGCAGACTTGTGTCATTTATCATTTGAAGGTGGAAGGGTTATTGAATACTGTTTGGTGGCAGCAGTATGGTGCCCCAGCATATTCTGCACAAACGGTACATGAGTACCTTGAGGAAACTTTCGATCATCCTTGGATAGGTCGGGGATAACCAATAGAGCAGACTGCACGGGATTAGGAGTTGAACCCCCTGGATCTCTTCTTATGGGGGTACGTGAATCATAGCGTTTAGTAAACTAAAACCACTTGTCTGGAAGAAGTGAAATGGAGCATGAACGACGAATGTCGCGGAATGTCGTTGCACACTTTGTCGAGAGTACTAGCCAATAGCGTCCGATGAATGTTCCTCTGCAAGCAAAACGACAGTGGGCATTTTGAAACTTGGTTGATTTTTATGCTAGTTTAACCTACTTCACGTAAATGTACCTATAATGTATAACGACTTATTTCCCGAGTAACTTGGTACGATTAGTAATGGCGCCAATAGTTCATCGGGGTAGAATGAATGCTAAGAGAATTGACTGAAGAGAACAAGACAGTTACGTGCGAAACACACGGTACAAGTTAGATATACTTATAGACTGGTCTCAGCCCGGTATACTCCACTGTACTGAAACCTGGTGGTCTCAGACCATCAAGGATGTTGAGTACATCGATCTAGCTAGGAAGTGTTTGGGTGCGATCGTTCAGTTGTTCGAGGGTGCAGGTGTGGCTATTGGTGTTATCTCTAAACTTGGCGTCGGTAGACAAAACCGCTGAAGCTCCGTAGGCTGTTACGCGCTCCTTACAAACCTGGGTTAGGTATTTCCGGTGCAGATCTTCTTAGGTTAACTCTACCAGTGTCGTTGGATCCGT